TTGCTCACAAATACTCGGAGATGGGGATGATCTCCAGAGTGGGCTTTGCTCACAAATACTCGGAGACGGGGACGATCTCCAGGCTGGCGTTGGCGGCGCCGGGGGCCACGGCGGCGCAGCGTGGGCTCCAGTAGCGGTGCTTGGCCAGCCCGTGGGACTGCTCTGCCAGGAGAACCTCCCCGTCCACCTCGTAGGGAGCCACGTCTGTGCAGCCCAGCTCCAGGCGGCCCACTGTCATCAGCTCCGAGAATGCCTGGAACGAAGGAAACCGGGATTTAACACAGGCAGCACGTGGCACTTGGTCCCTTCAGAGTGCTGATCTCCAGGGAGTCTCATCCCAGCACTGTGGGACTCAGATTCAGACAAAGAGAGAAACGAGAGTTTCTAGCCAGGCAGAAACCTGGGGAAGAGTTGGAAAATAATGTAAATAATTCTTTATTTCTCTTGTTATTAACATTGCTTATAGTTAAGTTCTATCACTGTGTATCAAGCACTTTGCACCAATACTGTGGGTTGTTTTCACTTCAGGACCAATGGAGTTGGTCCTCATGAAGCTCTGTATAAAAGAGTAGTGTATTTTGAATAAATCGGAGTTTTACTCTCAGAGCTTTCTCATTCCCATCCTGCCCTGACAGCGACACAGCACCACCATTTTATAACCACATTAAAAAGCCCAAATAAATCAGGTGTCTTGTTCACTAATTGCTGTAGTCCTCCCAACAACAGAAAGACAAATTAGAACAAGTAAACCCCAGCCTTCTCAGATGAGTTCACAACCAAACACTTACCACACAGGTGCTTCTATCAATTTTGTTCCCCCAGATGTAAATATGGGTAAGTGCCATGTTGGAATGCATTGCCTGTGCAAGAGCTACAAGTCCTTGGCCAGTTATATTGTTGCTTACAACGGATAACCTAGAAAACAGAGAAAATGTGTGCCAAACCATAGAATTCCCATATCTTAGTTAAAACGAAGAATTTAACTATGATTTAGTCTATTGTTATATTTCATACATATATAGAACTTTTTTATCTGTAATATAATAATTTATTTGTATCAAAGCCAGTCCTACTCTGATATCTTTTTCAGGTTGCCAAAGGCAGTTGGCCTCTGGACTTATTCCATTTCTCAAAGCACTTTCCTGACTCTTGCAACCAGGTTGCTCACTACTGCGTTCTTCAGTGTCAGTGACTTTGCTGCACGGTGGCCAGGTCTCATCTCTAGTCTGCTTTGAAGCCCAAGTCTTGGCATTTATCCAGGCTAAGCTTTGATCTTTGTGAAGTGGCAGTTATTTTTATATTAGAGAACCTGCAAGGCTTTCAGAAGCAGCTCGCAGCCGCCACCTCCTCAGTCTGCTGCTTAAAACTAATGGCTTCAGGTAACACCTTTGATCAGCTTTTATGTCCTTCTGGCGGGGGTTTAACGCGGCTGCAAAAGACACCCTGATGGAGAGATTACAGCTCTTCTGGGTTCACCCGGAAGTGAACTTAAACAGAGGATTTTCTTAAGTGTTGAAGATCAGAACTAACAAATATAGTGCCTTATCCCAGCGTGGAATCTGATTATCTCAAAATTCTGGGGGCCTACAGCTCTTGTTTTCGTTTGCACACCACAGGGACCTGCGGTTCAAAGGCGCAGAAAGAGCGAAGATATCAATGGCCTCACCCTGCACCCTCTCAGAGGGACTGTGAAAGCTGTGAGAGCTCTGAGCAGACCTGGGGCTCACCCCCAGCACCCCAGGGTGCTTCCAGGCCTTGGAGCAGCTCACACTGATGCTTAGTAAAGAAATCCCAGTCTCTCACAGGTTTGTTTCCCCTAGAAGGAAAAATTGCCTAGAACATTTTGAACTTCCTGACTTTCCTGTTGTGATCAACACGAAGACACAGAGCTGTGATGCCATTTCAGCCATTGCAAAGTGCAGGTTTCTTACCTGCAGTCTCTGGGGAAGCTGTGCAAATACTCACGCCTGCAGAGTCCTGTTCCGTGTTGCCAAGGCCTGACTCAGGCAAATGGCTCCAACATCTTCTATTCGGTTTGCACCGAGATCCAGGATCTCCAGGCTTCTGTTCCTTCTTAGCAGCTCTCCCAAAAATTCCACACCATCACAGATGATGTTATTACTGAAAGAGAGATGCACATTTTTAATTTTTTTTCTAAGTTGCTAAGAAAATGAATTTCTAATGTGCCACATTTAATCACTCTCACCAGCTAAGGTCAAGGTATCTCAGGCTGGAGTTTTCATACAGGGCCTCACACAGTCGTTCTACACCAAAATTTTTCATTTCATGCTTGCCCAAATGTAGTTCCACAAGAGAAGAATTACTCCTCAACATCCGAGCTATATGAACTGTGGTCTCTTCCTAGAAACATACACTCAATTTTATTAAGCTGGACTTTAGGATAAGATACAGCTGTGCCTCAGTAAAAGAGTGTTATGCAACTAATGCAAGATCTCATCATCAGTAGTTTTGTATTTTATATATTGTATAAAAATAACCACAAAACAACATGCTATGATAAAGCTAAAAAGGAAAAAAAAAAGATAAGAAAAATACTATAGGGATATTTGCAGTTTTACAATACTGTCTACATTCCTGCAAATATCAGTGAAGCATCAACATTTAATTATTCCTAATCAGTTTCCCTCCCTGATATTGCCCTTAAAAACTGAATGTTTGAGTAAGTCTTTGCCAACATTTGAAAGTATTTTGTAATTATGCTAATTATGTCATACAAGAATGAATTGGTCCAAGTTTTTACTTGATCTTGGAGACATTTTCCAACCTTAAAGGTTCTGTTAATTGTATGCAAAAGAAACAGGACTTCTATGGGAAAAAAAATTGTCCTGCCATTCTAAGGGAAAGGAAGTTTGTTCAAAGTTTTCCTGTTTAGTTAAGAAATTAACTGAGTGAATACTGTGAGCCAAAAATAAAGGGAAAACACAGAAGCCTCAGAAGATGATAGAGCTGAAGGTAGAAACAATGACAAATAGGGTCTCTGACAGGTCCAGACCAGGTCCTTACTGTTAGCAATAACAGTAGCTTAAATTGACTTCTAGAAGAGGGATTAGGCAGATCAAGCCCAGCCTTAGAAAATAAACTATTAAAATCAGTTCAAACTGTTAAATTTACCTTTGGGTATTGAGGAGGGTCTGGCTCTCATGACAGTTTAATTTTGTTATCCTGCCATCAGGAAAACACGGATCCTGTCTCAGGCACCTGAGAACAGCTGCCAGACAGGTGACTCCACCTCTACCCAGCTCTGCAGCAGCAGCAGCCATGCACAGAGTGAGACAGCAAAAGCACTCAGCTCAGAGAAAGTGGGGATTGCTGCAGTGTCTTTCTTCCTTAGGCTCAGGTAAACCACATCCTTTGTGCTCCCCCTCGTTTCCTGCTACACAGCGTGGCTCCCTCTGAACAGTGCAGGAAACTCCACGTTCTAACAGCAGAAGGAATACTTGCTTCTCCAACACCAACCCCTCTCCATTAGCCCATTTAAAATAAATGTACCAACAAAGAAATTTTTAAAAATTTAACCTTCTATTTAAACAGGTGCAGTCAATGACCGCACAAAACATACTACAGAAAAATAATAGTCCTGCAACAATTTTCTCCAGTTTGTAAGGAATTCCAGAGAGCTGTGTAGTTCAGATGTCCATAAATACATCAGTACTGACTTGACTAATGCCCCTCTCTCTGAGCTGACTCCACAGTCACTCACATACCTGTTGGCTGGATAGCAAAGGACGATTTAGGTTTATGGCTTTGAGTGATTTGTTCTGTGTCAGGGCTATGGCTGTTGCTGTCAGGCACTGTGGGCCCTGGAAATGAAAATAAACTCTTTAGAGAAACCTGTTCAGTGTATAGATCAAGCTACCAAATTGTCCTTACTATTATTTCTGCCTTTATCTACTCTGGAGGTAGAGAGATGGGACTATAGCAGGCAACTGCTTACAGACACATAACAGATTTTCTGATAATACCAATGCCAACTGCTTATGGAATAGCAGAGTGAAATTAGACTAAGTAGTACAAATGACTTGGCAACTCAGAAAATAAAAAGCAAGAATAATGGATCTGAAAAAATACTTGTCCATTCAATTGATCCTATATTTTGATTTACCTGATTTATGAGGCAAAATCAGCTTATGTGTGTTTATCCACCTAATATTTATCCACCTGGTAAATTCATATTTAGTATGAATTGGGCAAATTTAGAATTTTTTTTAAGAAATATCCTTCTAATTTTCCCTCTATTTTATATTTATGCTACTTTTCAAGTAGGCTGGTCTGTACCAAAGCCATCTCATCTTAAAGCAATTCTATCAACTCCCTACCAAGCACACACATACCAAGCTTTTGAATAAATCCTACACTGCCTACACTTCCCTTGTTCATGTATTCATAACACCTTCACACTTCCTAAGGGGCATTTCTCCTTCTGGCTCAGAAGCAAATTCTGAATTTCCAGGAGACAAATGTAGGCTTTTAAAAGCAATCCACAACTTCCTGAGTCACCCTGTGCAATGTGTAGGAAGTGTCAGTGCCCAGCTCTAGGAGGAACCACATTGTCCATGAGTAAATTTAGTGCTTTTCTACTCAATTCAGCACTGCTGTGCTTATGTCCTTTATGGGTCAAGCTCTGAGAAGAGCAGCAGAGCTATGGGATGAGTGACTTTCAGGGATTGCAGCACTGCTAACTTTAGAAGGAAAAGATTCTCCAGGGAATAAGAAGTCCATTCTTCAAAATGAAGTATACAGGACTTAGCTCAACAGACAGGAACAGCAGAAAAAACCCTCAGAAAATGTGCAAGCCAAGCACTTGAATTCCTAGAGAGACCTGGTGGCTCTAAAATATTCCCAGTTCTGTCTTCACAGGTGCTTTATGCAATGTGCCTTTCCAAGCACACATTGCAATATTATATATTCTGTTACCTCTGGCTGTCACAAAATCAATGACAACAGATGGCATTTCCCTTTCCTTAAGCACTGCAGGACCCTTGTAATACCCTAGAAAGACTTATGTCTTATTGCTGATAATTTTACTGGGTTACTCACCACATCACAGTCTCCAAGATCCAACTTCTCTAAGGCTGAGTTAATTTTTAGCATTGAAGCAAAGAACAGCCCACCTTGGTTTCCTATTTTGTTTCCAGTCATTCTCAGGTGCACAAGACTTTGATTGCTCTAGACAAAATTTTAAAAATATATATATTCCTTTAAGATGGCCTTAAAACAGCAGAAAACAACACTGTCCTGTTTTTCATGTGAATTTTGCTGGTTATCACACAGAGACAAAACAACCTTCCAGAAGAATTGTGTCTAAGTGATAACACTGGCTCAGCTCTTGGCTCAGGCTTCCCTCAGTGGCACCAAATATGAGAGTCTGCAAGCAAAATTCCTCTATTTTCTTTCTCCCAAGTTCATTAATTTTGTCACACTCATTAACATAATCCAGGCAAATATTTCTGCCTAAATTGGCATCCGAGATGCAAATTGCCTTAATACTAATTTATATCTGGTAAGCCTTGTATGAGCCCAGCATTGTACATCTACTGCACAGCCTCAGTGTTTTGGAAGCCTGTCAAATTTAGTTGAAATCAGTTCAGGGTTCAAAGACTGTGAAGGAGGAAGAAAGAGCTCATGTGAGTCTCCTTTCACAAACACAACAAATCATACACACAAGTCTCATTTCCTTGGGAAACCACATTAAAAATAACAAACTTGAGTTTGTGGTGCTGCTGTAAGGCAAAGTTTTGAAAACATGCCTCAGACATTTTGAATCAATACAAATATTGATGTCAAAGTACAGGCAAATTTAATTTAATTTTTTGTGGGGGAAAAAAAGGGAAAAAAATGATGGCATTATATATCCTGTAGCATAGCATTTTTCACACTGAAAAAAACAGCTGCAATAGTTGTGCTTTTTATGGACAATTATGTCTTTTTATGGATAATGAAGTCTTAATGGCAGCACAGTGCATCTTTCTCTTGTGTGAAATCTGATTTCTGAAGTGTGCCTTGGGAAACCAGGCAATCCCTGTGACACAGCAGCATGCTGAATGGAGCAAAGACAGAGGCTCCTTTCAGCCAGCTCTGGTGTTGGCAGCACAGCCAGTGCTGGTCATCAAAAGCAAAAAGATCAAAGGAGATGCCATTGCCTCCATCTCCCAGGCAAATACTCACATGGAGTGCTCCTGCTATCAGCTCTGCCCCACTTGTGCCAATGTCATTGAACATCAGGTTCAGATACTGCAGAGTGGAGTTTTCCTTGGGAGCAAACAAAGCAGGAAGCAATGAGAGGGTTTGTTTTTTGTTTTTTTTTTCCAAAACACAGCTGTATTTTTCAAAAAGGAGATACATATACAAAACTCTGCCCTTTGCAGCATTTCAGGCAGTTCATGAGTTGGAGAAGTAGTTAAAGAATGCCAAATTATGTCAGGTGATGAGGGCAAGGCATAAAATCTGTCATGGGGAGGGCCCTCAGGGGGCCTGAGGAGCCACCCAGGAACCCTGTGCATGAGGCAGGTGGTCAAGCTCAGATGCACAAATTCAGGAATTTTGTGAACCTAACAGTGCCCCTCAAATTCTAGGAACACAGGCACAGGGTGACAACTCACTATTTTCCACCTGTATCCCAGTGCTTACAATGACAAAAAGGCTGCATTAAAATTCCCTGTGTTAAACCTGTAAAAAGGCTAACAGAGATTATAAAATAGCTGAAACAAAGGCCCTGGCACACTTGGCACAACCATTACTACCCCCTTTGTTGAATTGAACTGTGAGCCTAAAAGCCCCATAGTTTATTCCATCATTCTTTTCTCAGGACACTGCAGCCAAATATCCAAAGGCCTTCTACCAGAATTTAAAAATCTCCACAGAGAATACAATCTGAGGTTCCAGTAGGATGGATTGGGATGTGATAGTCAAAGTTATTGGAATTTTGCCAAACCAGCTCATTCTAGTCCTCAATATAAAAATTACTTTAGACAAATAAATTACAAGTTGCTGAAAGATAAATATTTCTTGGCACCTGGAGGATTGTTGCCATGATCTTTGCTCCAGCATCAGTCAATAAATTATAGGCCAGATCCAAACCTGAAAAAAATGAAGAATAAGGAACGTGACAAATGCATATCTGCATTGAACTGATCTCTGAACAAAAAGAAACAAAGATGAACTAAGGCAGAAATCAAGACTGATCATGTTTCCTTGTATTATCACAGCAATGTCAAACACACAGGGAAAAATCTTACCTGTGACAAAGGCAGCTTGGCCTAAGACAGAGGCAAGAACTCCAAGATCATCATCTGTAACTCTTGGCACAGGCTCCAGATGATTATTTCCAGCTAATTTTAATGTGATTCCTTTTGTAGTTCTGCAGTAACATAAAAATGTAAGGACATGGGGAGAAGTAAAACAATAGAGAGAAATAAATTCTCTCTCCAGATCAGATGTGTGTCCATGCCTGCCCTGACTGGAGCTCTTGCACAGGTGATGTGATCCAGGCAGTGCTCAGTGCTCAGCACTGCCCTTTCTGCAGGCACTGCTCATGCTTGTACTGAAAGCAGGAATAGCCAAGATGAGGGGAGGGCAGATGGAAGTAAATATTATCTCAGAGGTTACCTCATCATCTTCTTTTTCCTTGCTCTCTTTCTTTTATTTACTTTATCCTGCCCTCAGGATCAAAACCTAACATAAACCATTTCATTTTCTCAGGTTTTTTGCCCCAAAGGACAATCAACTTTGATCCCAGCACTGTCCATGAGAAGAAGCAGTATCCAGACCCTTAATGAGAGGGAATTTGGGTGGTTAATAACTTGGCAGGATTCAGTGACAACTCAGGGAAGTATGACCAGCTGGAAGGTAACTGGATGCAGCTGAGGCTTTTTAAACAGGAGTGAGACACAAAGAAGGGAGTTAGGATGAGTAAACGCTGCGTTTGGCTTCTTTAGGGGACAGAAAGGCACCGTCCTGTACATTTTTCACTTTTTTTGATTTCACTGCTTGTAAAGCTGCCCAGAAAGGATATATAGTTACAAACTTCTGCCAAGATGATGTCAAGATGAGTCAAACCAGAACTTCAGCAGTAAATGTTAAATTTGATTTATGTTTAAGCCTGAAACTGCATGAACTTTCTCATTTTTCAATTCCTCATCCTGCTACCCCGTTTAAAGCTTTCAGAAGCATCTGAAACACCCCACTTGTTATTTTCTTACATTTCATCATTTTTATCAGCTTCTTTAAGCACACGAGCAATGAAGGGGTTTTCAGGCTGGCTCAGATTTTGACAAGTCTGCACATAATGCAGGTGAAGATCCGGAAGAACCGACATGACCTGCTGGAAAACAAAATCAAGTGTTATTGTATCGTTTTGGCAGCCTAGCAACCAGGAGGGATCTGCATAGCAATACAAACAGGCTCGGTTTGGAAAGGGTTACAGCTCGTGGCTTGGAGTAACAGATCCAGGAAAAGCATGAGGAAAACGGTGGGTGTGTTTTTGATGTGCTGTAGTTGGTTAGAGCACCGTGCTAATTTATACCAAGGTGGGCCATTCACATCAGAGTTGAACTTGATTATTGTTCCAGCTCAGCGTATTCTGTAATAAACTCAGAGATAAAAGAATCTGAGCTAACAGAGAAGTGATCCCTGTGGCAGCTCAGCCCCACAGGCCTTACCTGAGCAATGCCAACCTCTCCCCTGTCCCCAGCTCAGCCTGCGGTGACCGGCCCGCGGTGAGTTCGGTAACGGAGCCCGTTCCCGGGGAGGCTGTCCCGAGCCCGTTCC